TGCAGGTATTTGGAAGCAACAGCATTTCTAAATTTCTAATCTTCATGGAGAAGAACATCACAACTCAGTTGATGCTTACAGAAGCTAGATTGTAAGGAGGTGTTCCAGAAAACCCAGCAGAAAACCAGGTTTTTCTTGATCTTTTGGTGTCAATTTTCTTTAGGATTGCTTTGGTATCTTTCTGCAAAATTGTGCATTTATAGACTGGATAATTTTGGTACGTGTCTTCTCTGAATAAAAGAAAAGATCCCTTCTGGTTTTAAGCCTCACAGTTTCATAATCTCTGGAAACTTGAAAAAGGGAAAAGAAAAGATAAACGCCCAGATGGCTGATCCTCCAGACAAGAAGTGCTTAAGGCCACTCAAGAAGATGATGGTAACGTTGATAGGTTGAGTGCACTTCCGGACTGTGTACTGCTCTATATCCTCTCACGTTTCTGTTTCTACACAAAAAGTGCTGCAGCCACTCAGTATTGTCCAAAAGATGGAGAAACCTTTTCGTTTTGCTTCCTGAAATTGATCTATATTTCTTTGCGGACGAGGATGTTTCTGACCGTGATAGACTGTACTCAGATTTTATAAATTTCACAAACAGGGTGATCGACAGCGAAATGAAGCTCCAATTAGAAGAATTCGACTCGTTCTGAGCCATTTTTCGGAAAGGCACCGGATGCTCTTTGAGTGGCTGTTGATATCTGTTGCTGCTGCATTTTCTTTGTCGATTATCAAGAACTTGAGATTTTAATCGTGATTGATAGAACAACTAAGCCACTTTCAATATCTGTTCCGCCTGAAATTTTACCTGTAAAACACTAGTTTCTTTATCACTAAAACTTGGGGTGTATTGGACGGTTCCGGATTTGGTGTGCTTGCCTAATCTCAAGTACTTGGCTTGGACATGTTCAAATTGGTAGATGAAGCTTGTATTGGGAAGTTTCTTCAGGGTTGTCCTTTGCTTGAACAGTTGGAGTTATCTATGCGACCTTTCAACCATGAGCGTGACGCTGACGAACATATTGAAGTCAATTTTTTTAAAATCTCAAGTCCTGTGTTAAAGAGAGTGATCCTCTGTTTCCAGGGAGTTGAATCCGAGTTTACTACTGTTGTTGAGTCCAACAGTCTTGACACTTGAGTTTCTTACTTGATGGACAGCATAAAGTTGCTATAGATGCCCAAATCTCAGGTCTTTGAAACTTCATGGCGATTTACTTGAAGTCGATATCATTCAAAACTTGATTTCTCTTGACAATGCATTACTGGAAATTGATTTTCTGTGTCATATGAGAACCAGAAGCGCCATAATTTCATGCAGTGAGCGTGCTTTTAAGTTTTTTAGAGGATTGCAAAATGTGAAATCAATTTCTTTCTCAGAGAGCTTCCTTATTGTAAGTTTTATTTATTTATTTTTATTTTCATACTTCTCATCTGGCTTCATTTAGAGCTATCCTTCAAATTATAGTTGCAGAATTGAACGTTATTCTTACTAAATTCTTCTCTATGAAGGCTCTCTATTTTTCTCAAAGGTTTTGCCAACATTCAGAAACTTGATCAAATTACAGCTTGATCCTTTTGATTGCCCTGCTTTTCCTCGCGAATGCATGTCTAGCATATTATCAAGCTTATTTGAAAGTTCTCGAACCTTGAAGTGCTTATCTTCAGTGAAGTAAGTTTACAATGGACACTTGTATTGCACTCTTATTTCAGTTGTATTATGCAGTCCCTTATGTACATCAAATGCACAGGTGTCCAAGAACTACTTTAGCAAAGATGAAGAACTTAATTCTGTTTTCCATGAGGCTCTTCCACTAGTGTTGGTTGAATGCTTAAGGAAATAGAAATCGGAAATTTTAAAGGGAGGAACATGAATTGAAGCTGGTAGAATTTTTTTGGAGAGTGGGAAATCTTTAAGAAGATACTCTCTTGTTATGCTGTGTGTCTTTATCGAAAGGTCTAGACAGGATATTGTCATTCAAAAAGTGCTCAGACGATTGCCAGATTGTGTCAAAAGAGCAATGGAACTGGTTATTTCGCTGAAGCCTACAAAGGCGCTGAAACTCTCCCTTTAAATAGTATTTTCTTGGATTTCCTTCTGTTCTTGTTTTATTTTGTCTAATTAGTTATTTTTTGCTTTATGACCACCTGTTTCTTATTTTTTGGGTGAAGACTTGATTAAATCTTCAACAGTTTCTTGAGTACGTAAAGACGGTGCTTGTGCTTGTACTAAATCATATCTGATGCCACTGTTGATGCTCTATTGTGACTGGTAAGCATATCAATTAGTTGCAGAATAGGAAGTTTTGGCTTCATAAAATAGGATATTGGATAATAGGATCATATGCCAAAAGTTGGTATAAATGCACCCAGGAAATAAGAATAGCTGGGAGATTTACAGTTTTCAGTAGAACCTTCGTTTTGGCAGTTCTACTAAATCAGTCATTATGCAGCAAAGCTTGCCAGAAACCGATCTGAATCTTGAAGTGTTCATCTTATGTTATGCAAGTAATTATGAGCTTGAATAGATGTTAAAGATGGTGAACTCATGATTAGCACTCTTTGAATGCATTTGTAATGGTTTTCAGTAGAAGTGATTAATAGATAATTCAATTGCACAACTATAAGTTTTGGTTTTGAGGATATGATAGCCTATTGCACAACTTTAGAGGTACCAAGGAGTTTTATGTATATTTTGTCAAAGGCTATTACAGTAGGGTTCACTAAAAATCATATGGAGTTGGAAATCAAAAACTTTGACAACTATGATTCCAAGCTGGTAGATCATGTTTGGAAAATTAACATTCTATTAAAACATAACTTTTGGTGGAGTTTAGAGCCTTCAAGTCTTCATGAGAAATGTTACAACAGGATATTGTCCTTAAAGAAAAGCTCTAAGAATTGCTGAAAAGCATTGGATAGTAAGAAACATCTGGATTGAATCATTACTTAAAACCAATTTGAGCTTGATGGTCCTTTTTTTCTTTTTATGTTTCATTTATTTATTTATTATTTTTTGGGGAATAGGGTGGTTCTTGTCTGTTGCATTTAGCCTGAATGATATGCGGAGTGGCACACTTGATGTCATTGATATGAGGTGTATTATCCTTGATATGCTTCTTGATGACCCATTTATGTCGGTTTTTCTAATAAAATTGGCTTTTGTGGTGCTATCTTTGGTCTTTTGAAGTGGATGTTAAACTGGTACAACAATTAATAGCAGAACTAGATAATATTGACAAATTTCAAAACCCACATGTGTATGATAATATTCTGGTCACATTACATTTGTAAATTGACATGTTAAAAAATGTTAATAAAGCACCCCTACAATGTTTCAAGGTCAAAATCCTACATATCAATTTTCTACCCAGAAGGTATCTAGCTTAATGGCCTAAGCAGATTCAAGGATGTTGTGTTTCCAAGAAGAGTGCGGGTGTGACATTAGAAAATAATACTTGAATAATCTTATGTTGAGAGATAGCATTAAGGAGTAAAAGGTATGAAATGATCATATATTGAAAGGTAGCATCAAAGCTCCATAGGAAAGATTAGCTTGGAAAACTTATTTTATCAGTTTCAAAAGGTAATTAGGAAGTTTTAATGTTTAAATCTTGTATCTCTAGACATGTTTATTTGGTTTAGTTGTATAAGGTTTCTTTGCAAGTAATTTGCAGTCTTCTTTCTGAACATTGGAACATTTTTATTCAAAAAGTTTACTGTAATTGCAGAACTATTACAAGCTGCTTGAACGGAGATGGAAATCACAAGATGTTGGATGGAACCAGTGCAAACCATTCAACAATTTAGTCATCTTGCTGGTTAGTATGGACCCTTGTTGAAGATCTATGCTGGAACCAGAACACCTGCGGAAACAGAAAGTACTAGTTCAGGACTGTTGAAACTGCTGGAGTATTTTCAGGAAGTTCAGATGTGTTCTTGCCATCAAGAAAGCGAAATTTCGACAGATTTTGTACTCTTATCAGTGGACTGTTACGAGGCCTTTTGCAGCTAGCTGTCCTATCTACTGTAGTCCTCTGTGTTTTGCTCTGGAAATGCTAGATGGTTATAGGGATGTGATTAGTACTAGGACGAAAAGGGTACTCCTGACTTGTTGCGATTATGTAAACTCTTACGACTGTTTCTGTACAATGGTTGCTAAATTTGCTTTTTGCTTCCTAAAGAATCTTACAACATACCACATTGTCAAGCTCTACGCATGGATGATTCTTTCTAGAACTCAACCCTTTGGCTGCAACCTTAGGATATCAGTTCATATTGTATTAGGTTATATTGGATCAATTCAAACTCATAACCTAAATATGACTTTACATGGCATTTTATACGTTTTGATACATAGCACTCTTTTACATATATTTGCACAAACAAAAAATTTTTTTAACACATATAAACACATTTTCATGTACATAAATATATTTTGACACACTAAATTACTTCTTACAAACAAATAAATACTCACTTTCTTAAGTTTCTTGGATAGAAATGCATCATTTTCACGCATATAAACACACTAAAACATACACTAACATACTTTCATACACACAAACACATACATATTGGCTCTTTCTATTGCTTGGATGGACCAATTAAGAGCAAAAAGTCCTTTTGAAAAAGCAAATGAAATCATCTAAAATGCAATTAAAGGAATCAAATTGAAGAATTAAAGAACTCAGGGAAATGGAATCATCCAAACAAATGTTTTTTCTTTTTCTTTTCCCTCTAGCAACATCTAAATCGATGTTAGGTAGTAAAAACACTTCCGTTCAACTAATAAAACAAAGGTTCAAATCCTCTTATCCCTTTCTATTTCTTAAATCTAATCCTTCCCTACTAGAATTTTTTTTAAAAAAAATCAAATATTAATTTAAGTACAATACTTGCATGCACACCATATACACATGATTAGACTACAACATTTTTTTTTTTTTTTTATCCTCTGTAGTGGGCTGAATCCTTATTTAGATTTAGGCATTGTTTGGATCGAAGGAAATGAATGGTAAGGAAAGGAAAGGATACCAATAATAAAAAAAAGAAAGTAGCGAAAAGTGATTTCCATCCATTTTGTTTGGATTATGGAAATAAAAGAAAGGAAATACTGAATTTTTGTTTAGATTGAAGAAGGAAAAGAAAGGAAAAAAAAAGATCAAGTGTCAATTTACTATAAAAAATTGAGAAAAATGACCCTTTAAAAAAATTCAAATTATTTCAATTAATTTAGTTTAATTTCCCACCGTTTTCGCCCATTTACTTTCCATCCTCGAAAGTCCATCCAAACAATAAAAACTAAATCCCTCCAATTCCTCTCCTTTCCTTTCCCTCCCATTCCCTCAATCCAAACGGTGCCTTAGGTAATGCAAGACTTGGGCCTTTTATTGGACATAGAAAATTTGGGCCCAAGACTCGCCCTTCTGTCAAAGTAAACGGGACGAAAAGAATAAAAAGAAGAAAACCTAATACATTCTAGTATGGAAAGGGAAGCAAGCTTGAGAAATGTTGATGATTATCACAGAATATCTAGGCAAATATAAGCAAAACCCTGATTGTAGTTAGTTTTCTAATGTTTTTTTTTTCCCTTCTTCGTTTTGGGATAGTGTTTTGTTTTCGTTCTGCCTTCGTTTCTTTTTCTCTTTTATTTGAGCCATTGCAGATTATGATCTTGCTCCCCTGCTCATTTTGCTTCTGTGGCTTTATTTCCTAACATTCTCTCGGACACATTGATTTTGTTTTGTGAGTTTTTGGAAAAGGTTTCCTGCAACGCAGGTTCTGTTATGCTTCTGCCCTTCAGTCGTTTTGTTTTGTGCAGGCTCTCTAATTGTAATTCCTTGAACCCTTTCCGAGTTATTAGTGAAAAAAATTAACCATCTTCTTGGGTTAGGAAAATAGTTATCAAGTCGATTAACGATGACTGATCATGATTATGATCATCCTTCGGAACCCGAAAGGGCTTTTAGAAGAAAAACCACCCGGATGACAGATTGAGTGCCCTTCCTGATGACATTCTTCTTTATATTCTGTCATTTTCCCGTACTACAGATGCTGCAAGAACCTCAGTTCTGTCCACCCGGTGGAGATACCTTTTTGTTCGGCTTCCTGATGTTGATCTTACTTTCTCTGGAGCATATATGTGTAATTTCATGGATAAGGTCCTACATTGTGCTGTCATGCCAGAAATAAGCGTGACATGTTGCTCTGTAAGTCCATAAAATTTATCAATTTTGCCAATCGAGTGATTATGCTACGAAAAGGGGCTCCTATAAGAAAATTTAAACTCCGTTTGGCGTCCGTTATCCCAGGTAATAGCGTGACAATTGATTCGTTGATATTTGCTGCACTTTCGTGTACACTCCAAGAAGTTGATATATTTATTTATAGTGATAAAAATTGGAAATTAGCTCGTGCTGGATTATTCTCTTGCAAAACGTTAGTAACTTTGAAAGTAATCGGTGGTGAAGTGGATTTGGTTCTGCCAGATTCAGTTTATTTACCAAATCTTAAGGCACTGCACTTGCTTGAATTGGCACCAGTAGATGCTCAGTCCATTACTAGGCTTATCAACGCCTGTCCTTTGCTTGAAGAACTGGAGTTAGGTGTAGAATCACACAATTTGAGTAAAAGGCTTTTAACTAGAGCAGTCGATTTATCTAGTCCTTCACTGAAGAAACTGATACTCAGTGGCGCTTGGCTGGGTGTCCTTATGTTATTGAGTCAAAGAATCTTGAGTATTTGGAATATCGTGCCCGGCAAACGCAACAAATTAGTCTAGATGCCCCAAATGTTAAGTATTTGATCTACAGTAGTCTTGACAGTATAAACTTGATTCAAAACTTGAAGTCTCTTGTTGAAGCCAAAATCAGAGTTCACTGCTCCAGTTATCCAACTGAAAGAGGCTTCTCATTGAATGATTTGCATGCTTTTGTTAATGGACTGGAAAGTGTGAAGTCACTCTATCTATATCATTCTAGTCTGCAGGTAAGTTTACATCTCATCCTACTATTGGTTTCTCGCTCTGGAGCTTTTCCTTTGAGTTGTAACAATATGGAACTTCATGTGTATTCACTTACTTTTTCTGATTTGCTTGAAGGCTCTCTACCTTTGTCGTGAGTTGCTGCCGACTTTCAAAAATTTGACTGATCTGTCTCTTGATCCTTCCAATGATTTGTTTCTTACGAATTATGATCATACCTGTTTATGGAAAGTGTTACCTAGCTTACTGAAAAACGCCCCTAATCTTGAAGTTCTGATCTTTGATCAAGTGAGTTGTTTGCGAGCTTTTCTCTTATTGAACGAGTTACATTCGATTTTGTAGTCCCTAACTTTCTTCGAATTGGCACAGGTGTTTAGGAACAGCTTTAGTGCATCTGAGAAATTTGAGTGTGTTCTGCCAGAGGCTATTCCAATATGCTCCGTTCACCATCTTAAGGAGATGGAAATCAAAAAATTCGACGGCGAGGAACATGAATTCGAGCTAGTACGGTACTTTTTGAAGAACGGGATTTCTTTGACAAAGATGACTCTTTGCGGAGTTGTGAAACCTTCATCAGAATGCTGCAGAAGGATACTGTCATTCTGGAAATGCTCTGAGGATTGCCAAATTTTGTTCAAAGAACTCGATTCAAACAGGATTTGACGATTGCCAATATGATAGGGTGATCATCTCTTGTTAGTTTTGCATCTAAATGTCTAATCATATGTTTTGACGCCATTGTTGAAGCTATTGGGATGAATTGATTCTTTCTGAAGTTGATAATTCAATTGCAGAATTTGAATTTTTTTCTAGTGTACAGGAGAAAGATATTTGCACCAATCAGTTTTTCTTTCCTTGTTGATTTAGCATTGGTATGGCATTAGAAGAAAAATATCCAAATGATCATAGTTTGAATAATAGTATATTGGAAGATGGCATTGAAACTCCCGGGAAAGAATAGTTCAGTAAGATTATTGTCTCAGCTCAAAAGTTACTGAGTTTTTTACAATTATATTTTTACAGAATTTCTTTGCAAGTCTGTACTCTTCTTTCTGAATACATTTGTGTCCCTTTGCGTTTTGGTACTTAAGCCAAAATAGGATTCAGGTATGATGGTTCTGACTGGTCAGTTTGGTAGTTTTATTCCGTCTAGAATTTAGGAGTTTGCTTGGTCTATTTAAAGGGCCTATGGCTCAGTTCTGTTCCTTCTTTTCTTTTCTTCATTGTTATTTTGTCTTTCTTGCTTGCTATCTGTTCACGACCAATTTCCTTTTTTTGTAGCTTTATTTGTTAATTTAAACAGGTTAATTTCCTGCATTGATCCCTCAGAGAACTGCAACTCAGGATTGATTCTGCAGCACAGGTTCTCTTCTGTTTCTGCTCTCTCTATTTCTGGCCTTCCTCTTCAGTTGTTCATACTTTTATGTTCTGTAATAGTTATAAACAAATGGCAAAATTACACTTTACCCTCTAATTTAGTTTCTTTGTAAATAACCCCCTATAGTTTCAAAAGCTATACATAATCATGTCAAGGTTTATATTAAAGTGTTAAAATAACGAAATTTGCAATCCATAATGAGGTTATCTAAAATGTCAAAAATATCCCTGATGTAAATTTGAAAATTATTTATTAACTACACGGGGGTTATGTGTATATTTTGAAAATCATAAGGGGCTTATATGGTAAAATAAAAATCATAAAGGGTTAGTGCGTCATGATATTATGTTTATATATTTTAGTCATTTCAATCTTTTTAATTTTTAAACAAGGATAATTTTGATATTTTTAAAGATTTCATTACGAATGATTATTTTCGTCAGTTTTACATTTTTAATCCAAACTATGAGGGGTTGTTTATAGTTTTTGAAATTATAGGGGGATTATGTACAAAAATTCTAAATTATAGGGGGATAAAATGTAATTTTGCCCTAAACAAAACCGATTCTTGGTTCAGCCTTGCTAATTCTAATCTCTTGAACGATTTCGAAATTATTTGGTCAAAACCCTTTTTCTTGGATTAGGGAAGCAGCAATCAAACTGATTAACAATGACTGATCCTTCAGATTATTGTACTGATAGGTTGAGTCCCCTTCCTGATGATACTCTTCTTCACATTCTGTCGTTCCTTTACTACACAAAATGCTGCAAGAACTTCAGCCTGTTCACCAGGTGGAGAGGCCATTTTATTTGGCTTCCTGAAGTTCATCTTCAATTCTGTATACAATGTAGGGCAAATTTATCAGTTTCACCAATCCAACCTGCATAACCAATTCAACATCTTACACCATTAAAATCGTTCTAATATGACTCTCAATGTTTTATAAGATTACCCTATTTACCTATGCTAGAAAAACTCTAACATCTTAATTGCATATTTTAAGCCATTTAATCATGTATCTATTCAATGTTGATGTTGTAAAATACAGAACAAAGCCTCCAAATCATAAAACAAAGTCCAAAAATTCAAAAATTAAAAGTTTTCGTTAAAAAAAGTTTAATAATAGTGCAATTCATAGTAAAATACAAAATTTAGAGTTTTCAAAATCTTCGAAAGTATAATACAAAGCTTTTCAAGCATGGCATAAATTACAAATCTCATGTATTTTACAGAAACACAGTCTAACAATTCCATATACGATTAGATATGAAACTTACACATCTTTAAAATTTCTCATTGAAATATTCAAGCCAAATTTGATCATTTTTAATTGTTGTTAATTACTCAAAATGGGGTTTGTAATGTTGAGCTACTATAAGAAAAAAGCTACTTTTTCCGGTTAGTGAGTCAATCGGCAAATTGATCCAACCAAATAGAAATGTGATCCATTAGTGTTAGCCCTAAGGATGAAAAGTCTATTATACCCTTACACATGAACTAGGTCGAGTACCTATGGCTCAAAACAAAAAAAAAGGGGTGAATCACAACCCAATCTTATAATTGAGCAAGCCAAACCATTACCCAACCCAATCGAAACTGGTTCAATGCTCTAGTTTTTTCGACCAAAGTGGGTTAGTTTATTCTATTTCCCTTTGTTAGTACAGAAAATCATGCAGGTTAATTCAACAATCCCTCGTTTAATTGATCCAATCAAATCCGTTTATATTATTAAAAAAAAGTTGTTTTTTTATTATTATAAAGAAAAGCTATTTTATTCGGTTAGTATGTCAATCTACAAGTTGATCCAATCAAACTTGTTTATATTCTTGTCACTAATGCTAACAGGTTGATTCAACAATTACTCGTTTAAATTTGGATTGTATTTATACTTCTTAATTATAATCGTGTTTGAGTTGTGTTACAGCGTCATATTAGAAATTGGCATCTCTAGCAAAACCATTACATTACATCACCATCTATTCGTTAATAGCACCAAGCTATTACATTACAATCACCAACAATTTTCGAATTGGAAAGATTCACAATAAGCAATAGAGCACCTAGAAAATATTAGACAGCAATTTCAGACAAATAGAAATGGAACCCATTGGTGTTAGCCCTATTAAGGATGAAAAATCTATTATACCCTTACACATGAACCAGGTCGAGTACCATTTAAAGGCCCTATGGCTTAGGTCCGAATAAAAATCGTTCACTCGTGTATACATTGACAGTATATTAAAAAATTACTCTAATTTTCCTACATTGATCCTCAGAGAATAAATCTGCAGTGCAGGCTCTCTTTTGTTTCTGCTCTCTCTATCTTTGGCTTTCCTCATCAGTTGTTACTTTCATGTTCTGTAATAGTTATGAACAGAACTGATTCTCAGTTCAGCCCTTGCTAATTCTAAAATTTCTTGAACGATTGAAATTATTTGGCAAAAAAAAAAAAAAAAAACCCATTTTCTTGGATTAGGAAGCAGTAATCAAACTCAGTGACAGTGACTGATCATCATCATCATCCTTCAGATTATTGTACTGGTAGGTTGAGTTGAGTGCTCTTCCTGATGACACTCTTCTTCACAGTCTGTTGTCACTTTTCTGTACACAAACAGCTGCAAAAACTTCAGTTCTGTCCACCACCAGGTGGAGATACCTTTTTATTCGGCTTCCTGAAATTCATCTTCAATGCTCTAAACCTGTACGACAGGTGGGATCTGCTGTTAGACCACGAGTTGTGCTGTAACTATTTTGTGTTTTACCCTTCATATGATTACACTATGACACGGGGCTCCGATAAGAAAATTTGAACTCCATGTGTGGGAATATACCCATCTGTGTGTTTGGCGATTGCCTCGTTGACATTCGCTGCACTTTCATGTAACTCCAAGAACATCATCTTTTGGTGGCTAGTGATGAAATTGGAAATTATCTCGTGCTAAAATATTCTCTTGCAACGCGTTAGTTACTTTGAAAGCAATAACGGTAAGTGGATTGGGTCATCAAGATTCAGTTTATTCAATTTATTTGCCTAATCTTAAGGTGCTGCACTTGCTTGAGTGGTCACCACTGGATGACCAGTCCGTTTCTATCTTAGCCTTGTCAAGGCTTGTCCTTTGCTCCAAGAACTGAATTTAACTTTTCAGTCTTTTGATTCGGCTCAACAGGTAGAGTAGTCTGGATTTATCTAGTCCTTCACTGAAAACACTACTGATAGTACTCAAGAACCTGTGGACTGTGTGTTCTTTTGTTCGTGTGCCTGCCTGGATAGGCAACAGTTAAGCCTAAACGCCCCAAATCTGAAGTATTTTATTAACGATGGTCATGACAGTACAATTTTTTTTACAGAACTTGAAGTCTCTTGTCGAAGCAAGATCAAAATCAAAGTTAAAATGCTTTTTTTGAATGATTTTTCATGCTTTTGTTGACGGCCTGCAAAGTGTGAAGCCACTCTATCTATATCATCCTATTCTGCAGGTGTATGTCTACGTTTCATTAGTAGTGTTCTACGACTATTGATCTCTCACTCATTCTGCAAAGTGTGTCGTTTCATTCTTTGTTCCCCTGAGATTTGGCTTTGATTTGAACTATAAGGCGATTCTGCTACAAGTTTTGGCTTACTTTTTGAAAATTTCAACTCTGCATAGTGTTTTTAGCCGATAGACTTCGGCACAAATTGAGTTCTTGTGTACTTTAAAATCTTGAGTTCTTAATTGGGTTCTGATACAAATAGGATTATTTCCATGAATGACCCTTATTTTGGAAAGCTATGGTATATTTGGTCATCCTTTGTCTGTTTTGTTTTCCATAACTAGCAATATTACATCAAATTCTGATTTTGGCCATCCCAACATGTCAGGTGTGCTGAATTTGCACTTTATTCAATCCCATCTTCACCAAGAAAATTCAACATAAGTGGTCAAACAATATAAACCTCTTAAGAATGTTGTCAAGCCATTCCACCATACAAGTCAGACCAGTTGCAACAGAATAAGAAACAAATGCTGGTTGAATCCTATTTTTTCTTCCTATTGAACACTATTGGTGATCCTTAGGGCTTTTCTTGAATGGTAATCACATGCTTATGGAGATTTAAAAGGCTTTACTAGCATAATAAGTTCGTGTTCCCTTCTCTAGATTTGGTCATTTCCATCTCCCTATGAAGTTTACTGAAGCTCTGTTGATATAACCATTGGCAGAATAAACTCAAAAACTCCCAGGTCCCTCTTGCAGCTGCTCCTAATTGCCTTGGGCACTGGAAAACGTACTAAAATTGATTCTACACCAAAACAGATAATCATACTCACCAAATGAAAGATAAGCACTTCAAGATTAGAAGTAGCATGAAGTGAGCTTGGGAATATCTTTCATAAATTGCCTTCAGACAGATGAGAAGAAGATCTAAGACAACTCAATGCTTATAATCATAAAGTTCATTAACCCAATAATTGAAAGAACAAGCTTCAAATTGAGGACGGCAGAGTGAGAGGGCGAAATACATATTTGCAGACAGTAAAACATCTCAAAGTGCAGGCAAAATGATCGTTCACGGCTTAGCCGTGATTCTTTTGCCTGGTGCTTTAGTGCTATCTTTGACCACAAAACCATATTAATGTTTGCTCCTAACTATCATATCCCAGAACCAAAACTTCTACTTATGATTAACTGATCTACTACTCAGTTCAACAAAAAAACACCAGCAATTGCATTCAGATATGATGCTAAGCACGAGTTCAACCGTCTTTAGATTAGAGTTTAGGGACGGCAGAATCTGGAATCAACTCTATGATGTTAAAAACTCGTTGTAACTTACTTGATGAAAGAAAGATTAGCAATTCAAGATTAGGGGCATTTTCTAGTAAGCTTGCTAACATTTTCATAGCCAGGGATCATAAAAAATCGTGAAACAAGAGTAATAGACTGATTTAACAAAACTCCCCAACTTGAAAATTCTAATTGAGACCATAGATCTCCCCAGCTGTTATTCTTTTCTCCGGTGCATTAATACTAACTTTGAAATCACAATCCAGTTACACTACATATTGCTGCACGATTTTATATACATTAAGCCAGAACTTCCCTGCAACTAAATGATGTGCTTATCAGTGCATCATAACAGCATCAAGAATAGCATCAGATTTAATATCATAATAAACAAGTTCAAGCACAAGAGATAGGTAGTCATATAGTGAGGAAAGAAGAAGATTATATCCAAGAAAATACGGCTACACAGAGAGATTCAGCGCCTTTCGTAATTGTGGGCACTTTATCCAATCCATTTTCTTTTGAACACAATCTGGCAATCCTCTGAGCACTTCTTGAATGACAATATCCTATCGCGACATTCTGGTACAGAGTTCCAAGGCTCTTTAGCTATAGTCATCTTCTTTAAAGTTTTAGCGTTCTTCAGAAAATACTCTACCAGCTTGAATTCATGTTCCTCCCTTCAAAATTTTTGAATTCTATTTCCTTAAGATGTTCAATGAAAGTCAGTGGAAGAGCCACTGGGAAAACAGAATCAAGTTCCTCGTCTTCACTAAAGTAGTTCTTAAAGACCTGTGCATATGAAGTAAATAAGTGACTGCAAAATTTAATGCAATTAACTCTTACAGTATTAATGTCCACCATAACTTACTTCCTGGAAGATAAGCACTTCAAGGTTAGGGGAACTTTCAAATAAGCTTGATAACACTTTCCAGACACACATGCGAGGACAGTCATGGCAATAAAAAGGTATAAGCTCCAACTTAATCAAGTTTCTGAAAGTTGGCAATCTCCGTTGAGAAAAATAGAGAGCCTTCATGCATATAAGGAGAAGAACTGAGTAAGAAAAATTTTTCTATAAAGATTCGATGGGAAAGCCCTGAAATGAAGCCAAATTTAAGAAAAAGAAGACAGAGGACATACCTTGAGAATCTTCTCTGACAAACTAAGTGATTTCAAATTTTGCAACCCACTCATAAACTTAAAAGCATGCCAACCACGTAAAAATAAGTCGCTTTCAGTTGTTATATAATAAAGAAAATCAGATTGCACTCCTGCAGTATCTAGAGACATCAGGTCTTGAATGATGTTTACTTCAAGTACATGACCGACGATGTCCAAAGATGTAATTTTCGGAGCATCTATAGTAACTTTATGCTGTCCCTCAAGGAAGCATATAAGTAAAAAATGATAGAAGAAAATCCAACATAACAATGGAATATAACATGAAGAAAGATGAGAGTTCAAAAATAGAGTTTTTAAAGTTTTAATCACCTACTTCCTCCGCTATTAGAAATTTTTTTTTAAAATGACATGAAGAAAAATAAGTTTAGTGAATTTTTTAATAAAAAAGTTGCTCGCAGTTATAAGGACTTTAAAATTACCGTGTCAATTAAGAAGCAATTTCTACATGACCATTTGAAGTGGCAACTTTAAAGCTACCATTTCTCAACGGACGCTCTCAAGAAGCAATATAATGCCGTTTCTAATTCTATACATTGGCCTGGTCCAAACGGTATGATTACCGGCTTACAATCACCCGCTGATCCAGAGCTGTTATTTGTGTTAGAACGTTTGATCTTTTCATCTTTTGTTAGAGCAACCAATCTTTCTATTACACAACGGGGTATAATATCTATGTTACACACTCTAATATGTCGATATCTGTCATCTTTAGAATTTTAATTAAGTTGAACTTTTGAGAAGGACATGATGTCTATTATAAGTGTTACATATTAGTGTGTAACACAAGACTCATAGTCTCTAATATGTCGATATCTGTCATCTTTATAATTTTAATTAAGTTGAACTTTTGAGAAGGACATGATGTCTATTATAGGTGTTACATACTAGTGTGTAACATAAGACTCATAGTCACTTATTAAACATCGTTGTGTGCATGTTGTAACATGTTTATAACGTTCCTTTGCAAAAGAACTAAAAGCAAGATGGCCATCATCACTTGAATTGAACTTCTTGTCTCCATAACCTTCTTTTTTTTTTTTTTTTTTTTTTTTTGTAAATATTGTCCCAATATCTTTATTTATCTTTCATAATTAGAGAACCTTTATTGGTTGGAGAAGGACTGGGCTTTTAGCCACCTGCATGGTGAACAAAGCCTTCCAATTTCCATAAGAGAGGCATTGCAAACGGATCATTGAATGTTTCATGATGATGATCTCAATTTCAAGGTTGCTCACTTGCATCCACTCACCGAGCTAGTTGAGATGGAGAAAGCCAAAAAGAAAAAAAAAAGTGTTTGATCACCTTTTCCCGTAATTATTCTGAATTTTAGTTCGAGGCAACTATTCTACACCTGCACGACCAATTACTGATACTACTAAGAGATTGTCATTTTGTTATTTTTTTTTCTCTTCATGCTCAAACTTCTTGGAACGTTACATGCTTGGTTGAGGCTGCATAAATGCAAAAGGGTTCTTAACAATGTGTAGGAATTGGTCAAATTTTTAAGGGTTGAACTCGAACTAGTATTATTCAACCTTTTGTTAGTATCAAAATTCCAAAAAAAAAAAAAAGGTTTTAAACCACCTGTCTGTGCGTTAACACTACTTTCAAATAACACACTGTTACACTGTAAACTATGTTGTGTGCCAAGATGTTATATGTCAATGGAGCCAAAACTTTCCTACTTCTGTGACTAAATGATGTGCATCAATAAGTAAAGGAAGGAAAAATGGAGAGGGTCAACATCAACAAATATCATTCTTCCATGTTGGTGACTGAATTAGACTGCTTGAAGCTCTCACAACCAGGACAATTTTGCAAGCTCTCATGAATGTAGATATCGCAATCAAGGCAGAAGTGTTGTTTGCATTTGGGACAAGCAACACAAGGCCCTGGCAGATTACCTGCACGGCAAACAAATGCTCAAGTTTCAATGGAATCTGATAAGTGAGATTTTGAGCAAGTGTTTACATAATCTTCTTCTGTCTCGAAGGCCTCCTAGGGATACGAGACATAGGGCTAAAGAGAGAGCCAAAAAAGGATCTTTCAATTGATATGACCTTCACAACTCATAAAGAAGCTTGCAAATTGTAAAGCAGTACCAGTGGCTGTGAGTTTATCTCAAGTGCAGCACAAGCCATAAAAATAAGTCCAAAAAAAAAAGAAAAAGGCATGGGCATGGACCATGCTAACCCATGCCTTAACTGACTGCTTAGCCAATTCACAACCATTACAGTCTTAAGGTCAGTGGTCACTAACTTCAGCTTACAATTCTTGGGCATAGTCCATGTCCATCCATCAGACACCAAGAATAGAATCATAATGACCAGGCTCCCAAAAACATGGAACAACACATGATCAATATTCTCTTCTCAGTGTTTTTACAACACCTTCAATCATAGTTTAAAGTTGAAAAGCCAAGTGGGAGTTGTTATGTCTATCAATCAACAGTAAAATGTTCGAAATTCTTCCTTTCATATAATGCGACTTAAGTTGTCAAAGTTCCCAAAGTTGTTCAATACAGTATTTTCCTTAACTTCTATCAATCAACAGTAAAATGTTCGAAATTCTTCCGTTCATATAATGCGACTTAAGTTGTCAAAGTTCCCAAAGTTGTTCAATACAGTATTTTCCTTAACTTCTTCTTGCTTTGGTGTGGAAATGAGTGGAATTTGAGAGTAGTTATAAATATTAGTTCTATACAGGCTTCTAATCTTCCAACTGGAATTAAAGTACATAAACAGTCAGTTTAGAAGATCACGTGAAGCTCAAACAGTTCATATCAACAAAAGCCATCATGACAACCTGGAAAACTCATGAAAAAAAACAGTAGTGCATTCACAGAATGCATCAACAAAGTTTAAGTTCTTACCAGGATTTAGTAGACTTTGCTGGCAACCAAAACAACTCTTTGGCAGCTTTTGTGGAATGTTTGTAATTGATGGCGACACATCATCAAAAGGTGTTATAGGAAATAAGTGATGGTATGACCTTGCCAAATGTGGAGATGAAACAAGAGTCAGCCCACATATACGACACTCAGTAGGCAGCTCACATACACGGGCTTTGCATCTTGGACAAGTGTAGCCTCCACCAAACTTAGCCTCTTTATGACATGAACAGATTGAGATGACACCTTCTGCAGCCCTCTGGGGAAAACCCATCTTGATTAGATTGGCAATTGCAAATTCAGCTATTGCCGGAGGTGGTGGTGCATGTTCCAATACTAACTCTTTCAAGTGTGGCTGGCACAGAAAGGAATTTATGTATTAGACAATGACTAGTTTTTCGTTCAAGAAAAGGCTCCAACCCTTACAAAGGGGAAGGGGGAAAAGCGGAGGGCATGAGAGTTGAACCAGGGGTCTCACTGTCTCCTGGCTAATGTCCCTGCCAGCTAAACCAGGTCTTGGAGATAATTGACTAGTTTCATACTTGACATGCTCCTCATTCAGCAGATTTAACTATGAGTTTCCTTGACTATCAGTACAATTAGAGGCAATTAGAAATAAAGTTTGAGCTTTATTCCCTGTTCCATTCTATGCTTCAAATTTATCATTTGCACTGACAGCAGGTTTTAACAATTATGGTGATGTACTTCAATATGTAATGGCAGATTTTTCAAAATAATTACTCACCTCATCCAATGCAACTGAGTACAATCCACCAGTTTCTTGACATAGGTATTTGCATATATACAGTTCAGCTGATAGACCAACGATTGAGCACCTTATCTTGGCACCTTTGCATTTCTGGATGGTTTCCATAATATCCCCTGGATCACAAGTACTAAGAGCCGAATACAAAATAAGAACTTCGCGATGACCATATGATGGGATTTGGTTTAGAAGGTCATGCACAAGATCAAGCCCATTCTGGAGAGAAGAGTCACCCGAGCACTCCAACTTACCCATCAAAGCTTTGATATGAGACTCAGGACTGCCACCAAGATCAGTCAAGCATTGTGCCACCCCATCTTTTAATGTTACCAAGCCAATTTGGCTCAAAGGATTCTGATCAAAGAACTCCCTAATGAAAGCCTCCACTTGTCGTGCCACCACAACCATCCGGCTTGGTTTATAATCCATCTCTCCAGCTGCCTAGATAAGAGAATTTAAACTGTTCATTAATCAGTGAAAGTCAGTCATCAACCGACACAAGACCAATGAATGAGCTCTTAACTTTCCAGTTGTTTGGACTACCAGGTAAACAGGTGTTTATAAAGCCTTCTTAATTACTACAATCTTATCTAGGATAATTAACTTTCTGAGATCATTTGGATATTGTCAGGACAAAAAGAACTCTCTGAACTCCACTGAAGGTCATTCATTAAAGGAATTATTTGATCCCAAAATTAATGGATTTGTGATGGTGCCTTTAACATGTTAACTGTGTACAATTCTTTTACTATTTCTGTTTCGCATCTTTAACTAATAAATATACTACTAAAAGCTTTCGTCAATGTTATAAATATGCTAGTAAAAGCTTTCGTCAATGTTATCTTTGAGAACTGTAAAAGGAGGTAACCAGTAAAATGTGAATATTACACCTCTTTCAAATTCATGGCACAATTAAAGATTTCATTAAGAAGCACAGGTCCAACACATGTAAGTACAAAATGATTATAGCCTTACTCGGGAAAGATCGATGACAATGTAGAGATAGCGAATAAGGCCCTTCTGAATTCCAGCAGTAGTTGCAGTCCGAAGGCGTCTGCGATATTGAGCATGGTGGAGAGCTTTGTTGTCTATAGGCCTAAGAAGGCCAGATTCATCCTCTTGTAGAGACTCCCATGACCTCTCATCTGCATAAGCCCTCTCCCACGCATCACGGCCCCTCCCACTTTCCTCATCTTCATCTTCCTCCTCTTCTTCTTCACCTCTATTCAATTTTCTCCCTTCACCATTAATGTCCCTATTCATCATGTCATATATTCTTCGTCCCTACATTCAGAAAAAACCGAAGCGTTTCAAGATAGAAATCTGTAATCAACTTCCTAGTCTACCAGCTATGACCAGACCAAATTGAACCACATCCTTGGCGTGCGATCTCAAAACAGAGAATAAAGTACCATGTGAATTGCATTATCGAGGGAGAGCTTAAACAGAGTCCTCCCAACTATTTTCCCTATCAAAAAATAAT